AGTCTAAACATCTGGCTGACTGTGCGACCAACAATAATATATTAAATTTATATGCCGTCCAACTCCCAACAATTCTGGGTGGTTAACAATTGTTGAAAACATTTAAAAACAAAGAATATAAAAACACAAAAACATCAAAAGATAAAGGAACAAAGATGGCAAAGAAAACAAACCTGAAAGGGAACAAGGAAAAGGAAGAAAGGGACATCAGTTGTCCTCGCCAAAGGCCTGGGTGAAGAGCCACGTCTTCAGGGCCCTTCGAAATACTAGTAGGGTAGGGACCATTTGAATCTTGGGAGGAATCTCATTCCAGAGGAACCTCTTTTCCAGAGAGTTAGGTCTTTGCATAATGTGTCCAGAGTAGGATCATTTGAGCCTGGTCCTTTGTGTCTCCAATGAGAACTCTGGGTTGCTTTGTTCTATGATCCATTTGTTTGTTTCTTGGTTATCCACAGTTAGTGCTTGTGATACATTAAATTATATCCCATATAATATTCAGCAACAATAATGCATGTATTAAGTGACAGGAAAATTACATTTCTGAAGCAGCTAAATGCTAACTAACATGTATAATCTTCAGTGTAACACATTCATTTTCATTCTTAAAATCCTATTCAATCTCACACACACACATCAATTTGTTAACCCCAGTAATACCACTTCATTCCTAAGGTCCTTTCTTCTCTGTTGAGCTGAAGGTTATTCACCCATCCTTGAGTCAGCAGAAACTATACTGATTTGAAATTTGCTTTCCCTGTTGCCAATCCCTATCCTGCCTATGTTTCAAATTATTGCCAATCACTTCCCTTTAAGGTAATAAGCCATCTTAAACAGGTTTTACATACTTGGAGGTTACATCCTTGGACAGTTTCAGAACAATACTTACTTTAACCCCAGTACAGCTAAGAGTGACTTAAGACTGTGTCATCCATGGGCTGAAGGCAAGGTAACATCATGTGGACACAGCAGAAAAAGATGTTGCCAGGACACGTTTGTGCAAGTGAGGAAAGCTCTAAAACAAGTCTGCCTGGAGTCTTCAAAAGCATAAATACTTTGGGGTAATACAGCTTCCAGACCAAAATAATTGATTTCCCCAAGCCAAGGCCCAGATAGTTTCACCAACATTCCTAATTATAAGTCAGAAAAATTACATTTGTCAGTTGAAGAGTCCATCCGTGTATCCTTCCTTCCTTCCTTCCTTTTTTGCACTGTTTTGCAGACTGTGGAGTCACCATGCTACATCTTAACTGTAAGAATTATTCGGTTGCGGAATCTCCGTCAAGAAGATTGGTGTGAGTATTTTCATTCTTGATCGTGGTTTCATGATATACTGAGAGTATGGAATATGTCTGAACATTAATATTAGCCCCCAAAAGTCTATCTTGCTAAAGATACAGGAAGCCATTTTTAAAGCATGTATCAACATATACAAAACAGGTAAAGAGCTCCAAGGTTCATTCAAATGTTACCATTTTATAATTGCAGCAGCTTTTCAGGTCACTTTTAATTCATATGCAGTAAGATCTGTGTTCATAGGCGGCAGTTTGCCAGGCTTTTTGATAAGAATCTTTCCTGGCCATATCCAAAGATGCCAGGGAAAGCTCATGTATGCAAAGCAAGAGCTTCAACTCAAGCATGCTACTGTCATGGATGCACTTAGACATGCTTCATTGATCATTCTGTAATCAGGATCAGCGCAGCACTACTGGCAGTTTTAGGCTGTGGCAGTCACACTCCCTCCCCTCCAGTTCCTGAGCACTGTCCTCTAGTGCCATTCTGCTTTGTGCAGTAGAACATTTTGGTTCTTTCAAACTGGACTGTCCTCTTATACCCACCAGGTCTCCAAGTGACCTGGATCAGTAAGATCAGGTTAACCAGTGCAGGTGTCTGCATGGTGGAACAGGAGAGACGGAACCATTTAGCTGCATCATGCCTGCATAGGAATCACTAGTGGGAACAGCATTTTTTATGCCAGCATAGTTTTCTGCTGGCTCAGGGATTAATGGATAGCATTTGGTTTAGCCCTGAGAAAAAGCCCTGAGATTGACTTAGCCTAAACTAAGAGACTTCCCCATGTGCATGATATTCCACTAATTCACATCCAGCCTGTTTGTTAGTCATCATTCCTACCAGGTAGTATCTCAACCAATCTGGCAGTTCATGGCCAGTCAACACTTTACATCCACCCCCTCATGTTTAGATAAATTATATGGGAATTTGATCAGGATCAGATCCATCACATATAGGATATGGGAAAGCCGCATGTTCCTATCCTCTCACTGCCCCATTTCTTTCCCCACATACCTGTTGAGATTAAATTATAGAGATGAAAGCAGTAGAGATACTGGGCTCATTTTGAGGTCACTCCTACCTCCTTCTCTATGGAAGCCAGAAAGATAAACAACCTAAAACAAAAACAAACACACAAATGGGTACAAGCTGTACTTAAGGCACTTTATCTTACCTCCAATTCAACCTATGGTCTGAATATGAGTGTAATATTAAGCTTATCCAGACTATGAATTTAGGATCTTTCCAGATATTATTTGCAATGTCCCAAAGGATTTCAGTCAGCTGTCACAGCAATAGTGATGGGGGAAGCTTCTTTACTCACCCAATATTTCCCAACTAATATTTCAAGCTTGATTCAGACATTGGCCAAGTTAATTGCTTTTCATTTGGATTTCCTTGAGCTAAGCTCCAGTCATGCTCCAGACAATGGTAGCAATAATATGACGGAGTTCCCAGTCTTCTAAAACTTACCTACTATATGCATTTCCTCATCATGTCAAGTTATGGTATTCTTAACCATTGTTGTCAAATAAGCCATAATTATTAGTGAAATGACTTCATTAATGCTGGGTGAGGCAATGAATATGGATGCCTTGAAAACCTGGCTGTTCTCCCACTTCTTGGGGCAGGGTGGTTGTTGAGTCCCTACAGTTGTCCTTTTGTTGTTATGCATGGGTTTTTTCTTCTGGACATGCATGATCTGTTTCTTCAATTTTTATTATTTCTCATTTTAAAAATGTAACCCACTCAGAATCCTTTGGAGTTGGTTGGCCGCTAAATTATATAAATAAATAAACTCATAAGGGTATGGAGGGGGGGAGTAAAGTGATAAAATATCCATTATGACGTTACAATGCAAGTTCTGTGATTTACATACTTGTATTGGATAGGAGTGCACAAGGTCAAAAGGATAGGGTTTGCTCTGTGACATCATGTGGACAATTTGCTGCTTGCCCCCCTTGCAGGTGGCTATATACGTGCTGATGTTTTTGCCTTGTCTCCCAGAACATTACCTAGAAGTCATTTCACCAACAAATAGCCATTGTGAAAACCTATGCTCTATATAAAAACGACCATTAATTGGGTTTACACTAAGCCAAAAATCCTTACTGAATATTGATATTGCAAACATGTTAGTTTTCTATATCTCCTTGCTGCAATCTCAAGGCCATCCTGATTTTGTCAATCCAAATAGGCTAGTCCTATCCTGACATCTCACAGTATATCAGTAACAATACAAACAGAAATCCAGTTTCATAAATACGTATGTTTATGACATTCAGCTATTTATTTTTGTTTCATATTATTTGGAGAACTATGGAAAGGTTGAATTTTCAAATTAGTGATGGATTGCATAAAGATTAAAAACAAAACAAAACTGAAAATAAACCTGGAAGGTCAGAAGCATGGTCGGTCAGAAAATGTATGATATCCAGACACAGGATATCAATCTGACTTGAAAAGGTCTGAATCCTCCTAGATCCAGCTAGACCCAGCTTTTCTGCTAGATGATTGGATAGTTCAGTTAGTATTTTGCCCCAGTTGTGTCCATTTCTCACGCAATCAGTTGTGGCAGTAGTGATGTATATATTACCTGTATCTTAATTATTACTTTGTATCTTAATTACTACTTTGATGTATGTAAGCTTAAATTGGCCAAGTGGTATCGATCTTTTAAAGATGGACAAGGAATGTCATATTTATTACAGTTTCTTCCATCCCATTCCCTGAGACAAGCTTTCACAGAACTTCATTTTCAAACAACACCAACAGCCTATTTGGATTGAAGATATAAAGGATTACCAACTACACATGTGTAATAATTCACAGGTGGAAGATCTGATCCATTACTTATTCCATTGCAAATTATATCAGGAACCTAGAGCTTTTTTTATGCTTTTCTAATCCAACTGAATCAGTCTAGCTTAGAAGAAAAAATCTATTTTCTACTCACTGATGTAGATGAACATGTAACTAAACAAGCTGCATTGTTTGCAATGGCCACAATGAAGATACAAAAGCAGATGTTGACAATAGGTGCTGCTAATATTAGAGGGGATGTATTGAACTGATATGGATTGTTGTAATTTTATATGAATTTTGCTAAAATCTATGGTTGCAAATAATGTAGTATATACATACTTTGATATTTCAGCTGGTACAGGAAATTGCCTCTAAAGATGCTGTAGGTATACTATGCTGTTTAAAGCAGTGTGTCTCAACTTTGTTTAAAGCAGTGTGTCTCAACTTTGGCAACTTGAAGATGTGGGGACTATATCTATGGTTTTATTTATGTACTGTAAGTGCTTATAATCTATAAAGTAGGCAGAGTACAAGTGCACGCACTCAATACATACATGAATAGAGAAAACCTTAGAACAACTTGTCATTGAGCAACATCAATGGCTGGGGAATTCTGTGAGTTGAAGTCCCCACATCTTCAAGTTGCCAAAGTTGAGACACACTGCTTTAAACAGCATAGTATACCTACAGCATCTTTTCAGGGAGACTTTTTCCTTCTGGACTGACCATGTGACTATGCAAGCATGCTGGGCTTTCTTAAAAGTTAAAGAAAACTAGAACAAACCACTTGCCTATTTCATACGTCACATTTTCACTGAAACAGCCTGCTGTAATATTGTGTTGGGATGTGGGCCTCTAGGCCTTCAAATCAGGAACTGCTCTCCATATACAGACAAACTACTACTGAAATTATTAATGGAGCAGCAACCCAACCACTGCATCCTGGCTGCTTAATTCTGTCACAGCTGCGGACCAGAAATCTCAAGTACAGGAAGAGGCTGCAGCTCATTTCTTAAAGGAGGGAGGAGGTTCAAAAGCAAACCTTCTTGATGGCAGCCCTTTCGTTCAGGAACAGCTTGCCCCCCCCCCCCCCCATTTAGGATTGGCACCTTCCATGCTAACTTTTTGGAAGGCAGAGAATACTGCTATCAGTTTAGGAGGTGTTTATTTATTTATTTATTTATTGGATTTCTCCCCCGCCCATCTCCTCCACAATAGGGGACTCTGGGAGACTTACAGAAAACATTAAAACTATAAATATATCTAAAACACATAAAACATCCAAAATTTA